AGAATATATTTCAAGTCTCTGCAAAGTCTTAAGATCAACACGCATTCATTTTGGAGATCAGAGTTTTTCGAGATTCAGCTGTCACAGACTGGCTATCCTGTTTTAACCCTCCCTCAGCACCACATCAAAGTACTGTAGCTCAGAGAAGATAGCAGTCAGTGGGAGCCTAATTTGCTACTTGGCATAATGAAGTTAGGATAACTTCAATTTGCAGCAAAATCATTAAAAACAAACTTCCTCATGCTGTTTATGTGCCCCCAAGGACTGAAAGGAGAAGTTTAAAATATGGTCTAACCAAGACCATATAGAAAAAAGAAATAAAAAATATATGATATTTTTCTCCAGATATTTAATATTTACTAAAGTATCCTCTGTGGGAAAGTGTACAAAACCAGAGGTCACAAAAACTCTCTACGGAATAATGTGAACATATTTGTACATTGCTTACTGCATGTAGGATATTGCCTGATTCAATGTTACATTAGAACCAATCCATGTTAGGTTCTTCCCACTGAACAAACACAAATAATGCATAATGCAATACTTTTAAAAAAAAAAAAATATCACTCTGATTTCTTGAAGAACACACACGCTGTAAAAGTAAACCTACTGACTCTATGCCCTTGTTAGTACCCCCATGTACATTGTCTGTGTGAACACACTCACAGTCTCTAACTACTCTTCAACAAGGAAGCAGAGAAAACCGGTTGCCATGGTAACTGCCGTGTCAGCTAACCTACTTTTGCATGAACGAAGGACATTGGTGGAGGGAAGAGAGGTGTATGGTACGTATAGATAGATGCATTAGACCTACACACACTACATATTCATTATATTTGATCAGGCGCAGGCAAACTAGATTTAATCTTTCCCCAGAGGAATTCATGGGAGAACTCTTGTGTTTGCAGAGGCATGATTGAAAGGGATAGAATGAGAATTATTATTGATATTATTGATAAAGACTAGGATAATGAAGGTCTGTGAAACTTTGATTTAGAAGGAAATAGCCATAAAAATTAGGAGTATGAATGCAATGTCAGGTCAAGTCAAGTTTATTATCATAGTTCATCACCACGAGAATTTCCCAAAGGACAATGTTAATTTACAAAATAATTACATTTAATTAAAACAATTACATTTAGTTTGTGTGTTTATCGCAACAATGAGGCTAAATATTGCAGTAAAGCATGCAGCAAAATAAAATGCTGAGCATAAAACATATTGGAAAGAGAGGAAAGAGGCCTATCTCACCTTGCCTTGCATTAAGAAAACTGACCACCACAATGAATGCAATACCAGCTTTTCTTAGGGGATATGGGACAAAACTGCCATCTGGACTTGGACGTACACTTGTATCTCCACAATGCTAGTTACCGTCCCTAATTGACACGTCGACTATTGAAGCAGCATCCACATTTTGTCTGTTATTGACAGCACTGCGTCCTACAGGGAGCCCTGAATATGCTGCTTAAATGGATTGAGGGGATTTTTACCCAATAATCATTTATGTTCGCTTCTCCCTGTAGTTCCCCTCTAATTCTGAATCATTGGCTGTGGAGAATTGTATTAGGCAGATGAAACACACTGGGCATGAGACATGAGTGGGTATGATAAAGAGAGAGAGAGAGAGAGAGAGAGACACCATGAGTTTGGGCTTGTTGCCAGAACTTGTCGGCCGCTGCGCTAGTGAGGCATTCAAAATCAGGGCTTGACAACAACAACAACAACAACAATACACGTTTTTTTTTTATAGTGGCTGAATTACTGTAGCATTGCAATGTTCTGCAGCCATGGGGATGCAAACAGGCCTATAAGAAATGGCAGGTCTCTGTAGAGGAAACGCAAGGGGAGCTTCGTCTCACAGCTGAGCAAAAATGTCTTCAAGTTGACCTTCACATGATTTTAGAAATGTTTTTTTCAGTTATGAGTAGAGCTCTTCGGATTTTGGGGCCTACTTTGATTTAATTTCTGCTCCTTTGATTTGAGTAGCTGTAGAACACATGTGGCCATGGGCTGCAGGAGTAAATTAATTAACACTTCAGTCTTCAGTTCAATCCCGTGGCCAGATTTCATTACATAATGTGTATTTCAACAATGCCATGTCACTGTCTGAACCATTATCCAGCCTCAAAATGTGTATGTGTGTGTGTGTGTTAATAGCACAATATTGTCATTATCACATAAAATAACAATATCTTAGCAGTACTATGACTTACGTAGCAGTAAGTGAGTACTAAGCAGGCTTTTTTATAGAACACAACACTTTCAGTATCTGAATAATCAATGTAAATGCTGTGGGTTGCTCACAGCGCACACACACACACACAC